GTTGGGACTTCAAGTGAGCACAGCGAAGACAGAGGTGATCCAGAAAACCAACCAACAACAAGCAGCAGTCATTACCAGAGGAGAAACTTTGGACGAGGTTACTTATTTCATGCAGTTGAGCAGCACGATTCCAACTGCAGGCTGCAGAGGTGAAGTTGTCAAATTCAGGTTCCGATGGGTCAGACAGACATGCATTGCACCTCAGTGGAGTGAAACTCGCGAGGGACCTTAATCGGATGCGCTTGGGCGTGAATTCACTGTGAAAGTTTGCCCACTCAGTATATGGAACAAGGTCAGAACTTTCACTACTGATATCATGTCAGCGCCTCCATATGGTTACGAGATGTGGACCACGTGTATTTAGAAGCATTTCCAACAAACTGCTACGAACTTTCGCCAACAGCTGAGATCACTCCATACTGAACATGCAGAAAGATAGGTTTGCATGCCTCTCCGGGAAGATACAGAAGATATTAGGGGCCATTATGGTGCTAAAGATATTCCACACATCTTAACTTATGTTTGCATACCTCACCAGTTTGTTGTAAGCTTTATTATTACCCCATCTCTAATAGCCATGTTTCGTCCTTTTCTTTCCTTTGTTACGTTTGTATATACCCCCGCTCTGATGGCTACATTACAGACAATCCTTTTGCGCTACCCTCCACTTACTTAGTCTACTCACACTCTAGATCTTCTCTCAACTCCAAAATATTTGTCGGACTGACATGAAGAATGACTGGTTAAACGAAATTTGTGAGTCCTAGCAGCTCCAATGCCCTACAAAAAGCTTATAGGAAGGGAGTGCATTAATGCATAAAACATATACTAACACAAGTTCTTATACTCACAGCTCACATAGTATTTGTTCTGCATAAACCGAAAGCAAGTTGTAACACCAAATCGATCTTACAAAATACTAACTTTATTTTGGGAGGAAGATCGTAGTGCGAGGATGATTTCTTAACCAGCTAGGGGTCGTGCACGAGGGAAAGTAGCACGACAGAATGTCAAATGGCGTGGGCGCTTGAACGCAAACCCTCAGACAATCGAGCGGATAGATATTTTCATTTCCTTTACGTTCCCAGTGGAACATAGGGCTTCAAGCTGGGGCTTCAAGTTTCTATAGCAGTGTTTATTTTTACAGGATGAGCTTGCGAGCATGCTAACCGCTGTGCCACCGACGCAAAAGGGCTGGAACCTTCCAGTTACGAGGCGAGCTCGTATACCATTCAGCCACTGGATTGATAATAATCCAGAAGAAAGACCGACCACCTCAAATCCCATGAAAAACCAAAACGAAATCTGCAGCGGAAAAATTTCACAGTTAAACAGCAATTTTTTAATCCTAATCTGATATAGAATATATGACACTTGAATTAGACCTTGTTTAGCTGTCAAGTTCAGCTCCCAAGACCAGTTGACTACCGCTCTCCATAGATGGTACGAGACCAAGGACAAGGTCAGCAAACACATTCGCTGCTGCGAGAGCCGGCCTCGCACTCAAAGGAGAGAACAAAGCGTAGTTAAAAAAATCCTCAACCCCTAGTCACACTACAGCGGTGCAGCACGGACGATGATAGCCAGTGTCATCCGAGTGCTCCAACTGAACTAGAAGAAAAAAACGCCAACAGGCCGGTTCCTGGGGAATCGGCCAACTAGTTCGTAGGATAACTCCTCAACCGATAGCCAATATCAAGTCAACTACCCCCCAATACGGGGAAGTGGTGAGACTGACTACCAGTTGCCTGTATAGTAATGTGAGAGGGCTAAGAGGCAAAATAGCTGAACTTAGACACCTACAATCACAACTGAACTCCAAAATCATAATACTGACGGAAACCTGGCTAACCCCTACGGTGGCAGACAGCGAAGTCAGTATAAATGATATGGTCCTAGTCAGGCGAGATAGGGACCTGAAAGAAGGAGGTGGAGTCGCCATATACGTCGACAAACAGCTCAGATGTGTTCACGCGATGGACCCTCCCCTCACAGAGCTCCCTGACTCCATATGGTGCCACTTCACCGTTGGGTACTGCAAATATCTAGTGGGCAGCATTTATCGATCACCTTCATGTGGAGCAGACCACAACCAGGTACTGCTAAATACAATCTCAGCAACTCAAGACATGGGTTATGATCAAATTGTCATAGCTGGTGACTTCAATGCCCCATCTCTTAACTTGGTGTCGGGAAAAGCCCATGATAGATTTGATCGAAATCTGCTGCATACCATCAGGAAGGCTGGATTCACTGAAAATGTCAAGATGGATACTAGATGGGGCCCTGATGGGAAGTCTTCTAGACTGGATTACGTGCTCACTAGTGACCAGCTACTAGTGGAAAACGTTCAGATCACGACTCCCATAGGTAGTAGTGACCACGCGGTCATAGTATTCGACATAGTCCTCCGCGAGCGCTTACAGTGGGACAATACACAGCCCTATCTGTGTTATAACAAAGCCAACTACACCAAAATGCGAAGACTTCTGTCTGAAGCAAATTGGCCTAAAAAATGGACAGAGCTAACAGTAGAAGAACACTGGAGAGTGGTAAAGGAGATCATTCACCAGGCGGTCTCAGACACTGTTCCTTTAGTCACACCAAAAGCTAGGAAGCAACGATCATGGCTAAAAGGGGACACAACGCCTTCTGCAGGCAAAGCGAAAAGCCTGGTTCGCGTGGCGACGATCGAAGAGTCAACCCGAATATGAAGTGTACCTTGAACTCAGGAATCGATGTAACATACGAGTCCGGAGCGATAGAAGGACATTTCAGGGAGACCTCGCCAATAAGCTTCTCGTGAACCCCAAAAGCCTATACAGGTTTATGGCCGAAAGAAAACCGACCAACCAGGGAGCATGCAATCTAGTGGGTTCTGATGGGAAATCTCTTACTAGTCTTGAAATGGCAGAGACATTCAGCCTAGCCTTTCACAGGCAACTAAACAGTAACGAGGATATTACCCCACAGAACATCCAGATTACATCGCAAAACCAACACGCGAAAACCTGCTGGGTACATTTCAAATTACCCCGGCTATGGTACTTGCAAAATTGGGAAGGTTGGCTTCGGGAAAGTCTCAGGTTGTGATGGCATCAGACCATCTGTCCTGAAGCAGTGTTCAGAAAGTCTCTGTCAACCCCTAAGTGATCTGTTCCAACACTCCCTTGATGTAGGGAAACTTCCATGTGAATGGAAACGTGCAATCCTATCCCCTATCTTCAAGGGTGGTGACCGGCAGAATGTGACCAGTTACAGACCAGTTGCTCTACTTCCAGTGGTATCGAAGATATTGGAAAGTCTCATTGACGACCACATGAGAAAATACTTCGATGGGACTAACCTTCTTCACGAAGCACAGCACGGTTTCAGGAGGGGAAGATCCTGCGTGACGAATCTTCTACTAGCTGGAACGATTGGACACTATCCTGGGACAAAAAGGTACCAGCCCACGTGATCTTTCTCGACTTTGCGAAAGCATTCGACACAGTTCACCATGGTCTGCTCCTTCACAAAATAGCAAGGCGGGTGTTTCTGGAGCACTTCTCGCATGGCTGAAGATTACTTAGGCGAGAGAGAATTCTGCACCAAAGTCAACCGCATCCGATCATCCTGGCACACCTCGGCATCAGGGGTTCCTCAGGGTTCTATCCTAGGGCCGTTGATGTTTTTGATTTTTATCAACGACCTGCCCCCCAACTAAACTGCTCTGCGCTTCTTTACGCTGACGACGTAAAGATTTGGAGAGCAATAAACTCATCGGAAGACTCAGATAGATTGCAGGCTGACCTGCAAACTCTGGGAAATTGGGCTTGGCTAACGGAATGCCTTTCAACCTAAAGAAGTGCAAAGTAGTGCAACTTCATTCCGGCAGGTCACAGAGTGTAAATTACACCCTTGGTGGCCAGAACTTGAGTTGTGTTCCATCAGAGCGTGATCTAGGTCTTATTCTAACAGAAAAGCTAGACACCAGTGGAAATTACTCGAGGGACGTCGCCAAAGCCTACGCAACATTACACTTTATGCATAGGCAGCTGGGAGCTCTCACTCCCGAACTGTTCTTAAGGCTATATAAGGCATATGTGAGGCCACACCTTGAGGTGCATAATATCATTGCACCTCCGCTACTCAAAAGGGATGCTAACATTCTAGAAAGTGTCCAGAGACGAGCGACAAAATGGGTGATCGGCCTCCGCAACAAATCATATGAGGAAAGACTAAAGAAATTAGGTCTTTTCACACTTAGTTACCGTAGGCACAGGGGAGACCTCATCACCGTCTACAAGATCCTAAATGACCAGGCCCACCCAAATAAAAGCATCCTGCCATTAAGTGATTATAGGCTTCCACGAGGTAACCCGCTAAGGATAGCACACCAGAGACCAAAGACTCGAGTGCGATCACATTTCTTTTCGCTTCGTGTTTGCCGTCTCTGGAACGCTTTACCGGCGGCCGTGACTACAGCGCCATCTCTGGAGATTTTTAAGCGGAAGCTAGACAATCATGCAGAAATGCAAGGTTTGTGTCTCAATGGCTTATCCTCATAAAATTTGAAACCAAACTGTCAATGATAAGCGTACAAACTAAATCCCCACGACCTATTCTGCCTTCTCTCACTCTATCTTTTCCTTATTATTATTATTATTATTGTATCCTTTAGTTCCTAGAGGAACATAGGGCTTCAGCTGCGCACCTCCATTGACTTCGGTTTTTTGACAACTTTTTCACCCTGCTCCAGGTCTGCCCACATGCTTTCATCTCCTCTTCACATGACCTCCTCCAAGTCACCCTTGGACGACCAACTCGCCACCTCCCTTTCGGGTTCCACTCGAGGGCTTGTCTAGTGATGTCACTTGTTGGTTTCCTCAGCGTATGGCCAATCTTTTCCTTAGGTCACCTTTATTATTCTACTTATCTCAACCTATATTATCTACACTACTACCCATTATTATTATTATTACTGTTCTGCTTTTATGACTACACCGAATGACCAACGGGAGTTAGGTCAAACTCCATTCACGGCAGCAATACAGTCCTAACATACTGCATACTACAAACCACATCTCGACCAATCCCCGCACCACTCCTCCTGGAGTCTACCAGAGCTAAAGCAGTCGAGTGGCGGGACTTACTACGCAGAAGCTCACCGAAGATCTGGAACCTCTACCTCACAATCAAGAAGCGAGCTCAAAGAAATCACTGGTTTATACTAGCTCGTAATCAGGACATTGGATATTGGATATTGTTTAAACTAATCCTGTGATAACGTATAGCTCACTCTCTTAAACTTAAGATCATTTCTTTTCAAATTATCCCGTCAGGAGGTGAGAATACGTTATTGTATGTATTTAGTACGGTTTAGCCATCTAAAAATTAAAGAATATGCAGATTAATTAGTATAGGGGTATGACTGAAGGACTGAAATGCCGTTGTAAGAGCTAAAACATAGTGATGTGGCTCGCAGAACTCAGCGTGTTTGCGGACATAAGAGAATCGTAGGATTTTTTACGGTTTCAGGGAAAGGCTTGGATTGTTTGGGGGTAGACATGCATTTCTTCAGTTCCCTCCAAGTTATAACTCTGCTCACGATTATGACGTATACGCCAGCTAGCAATGACTTCGGGTGCACTGCAGAATATTCTGCATATATTCAAACATATGTTTGAGGCAGGCTTAGCGGCCTTGTCCCACGTTCGGCTGTGCTCCCGAAGAAAATGCTAGCTAAGGCGTCAGGACATATTGTGACTGCAGTCACAGTCTGAGTATTTTCGTAGACGTAAACACCTTACATATTTTGCAGGACAAAGCTAACACGAGGAAGTTTATAGTCGCCATAGTTCTTAGCTGCGTACGCAGCTTATATTATTATATTATTACAGTATTTTGCAAATTTTTGATTGCTTTTAAATAGTGTGATATGGTAATTCTTCAGTCCCCTATGTTTTCACTGGAATTGGTGGAACTTATATAGAGGTGTTTACAGATTTCCCGGTATCTACAGGAATATTTTTGTTTTTTTCGCAATCCAAGTGTTCGCTACTGTGACAGCACTATTTCACAAATCATACCCATCTGTTCCTATTGCTACATTTCCACCATTTCCAATTGTAACTACTAACCCGTAGCCAGTCAGTTTGCCAGGAAGTAACGTTTATTCCATTTACTGCTACTTGGCTAAATTTACAGTGGTACTAATTTCAAAGATTCCCATATTGGCCACCAAAATTGTTCATACCTTTTACTGATAAATTGTGTATCAAGTTTTAAAAGGTAGGTTGCAAAATGCCTGATTGATGAAATCTGTGTAAAGAGAGAATTGAATGTGTATTGAAAGAATTCCACTTTCCCGTTTAGCTGTTTCATGTCTTAAGGTACTTAGATACTGTTTATTTAGCTGCAATTTTTTCGACGGATTTTCTGTATTTTATTGGTTGGTAAACTATAAAAATATAATACTCTATCCTGCCGGACATGTGTTTTTGCTTCATAACCAGTTGTTTTCTCAATTAAATGTTTCTCTTGTGAAATGTTGAAAGTTATAGTGTAGTTACACCTAAATATCTCTGAACGTCCTTCGTTAATTGAGTCAGGTATCATGAAGTTATGAAGTTCATGTTTCATGTTACATAGGACAATAGTTGACTTGTAAAATATGTAGTCGTTACCAGGTTTGTTGGGAATTTAACTTTAGGCACTATCTTCAACTCATATGTTGTTACTTATTGACTTTGGTTATGCAATGTGGTCTTTATAGGTGTTTTGGCAGATGAACTGATCAACGACCTTTTTGGCACAGTTATGAAGATCAGTTCCTATTATTGATACTCTGTAACTACTTAACACAGGTCCATAGTCTATTACATAAATTGACCCTAGAGAACTGGTGACTATTAAAGCCTTTTCACAATATCGGTAACCTTGAATAAATATATGGATGTATTTAGTAAATAAACATTTGTTTTAGAAGATATAGATTTCCTAGCCATTCATTTATCTTTAAATGCGTTTTGTTCTTTCATAATGTACTTTCATCGATCAGCATGTGACTTAGGATTTTATTAGGAAATGTATTTCCAGTCTTGTGATGTAGATCGTCATTTCTCCAAGTTCGCTATCATAAAATTTTAGATAGGATACATGCTTAAAGTCTGAACAAATACATAAATCCTGATGGACTAGTAAACATTAATCTGATGTTTTATTTTGAAACGGTATTCAGAAGTGTGAAGTAAGATGTTCTTTGGTCCATCTAAGTTGTAGCACGTCGGAAACCAAGAGTTGGGAAAACTTCTTCTTGGCGATGTTCTGAACAAATTTAACTGGGTCATGTTTATGCACCGCTGAGGGCATGATTATTATTATTTATTATTGCTCCCTTGGGTTCCTAGTGGAACATAGGGCTTCAACTGCACGTCTCCATTTTATTCTGTCTTCTGCTATACTTTTCGCCTGCATCCATGTTAATCCATATTCTTTCAACTCCTCTTCACACGATCTCCTCCATGTCACCCTTGGACGTCCCACACGCCGCTTCCCTTTCGGGTTTCACTCGAGGGCTGGGTGCGCGATGTCATCCAGCGGTCTCCTCAGCGAGTGTCCGATCCATGTCCACTTTCTCCTGCATATTTGTTGGCCGATTGGTTCTTGCTTTGTTTGTTCCCATAATTCCTTGTTGGTGATTCTTTCCGGCCATCTGATCGTCAGTATTGAGCGAAGACAGTTGTTAATAAAGGTCTGCAGCCTTTTGGAAATATTCTTTGTGACCCGCCAATTTTCTGATCCGTATAGAAGAACTGACTTTACGTTTGTATTGAAAATCCGAATTTTGTTGGTGATGCTGAGTGACGAAGATTTCCAGATTGATTTCAGGCTGATGAATGTGTTTCTCGCCTTCCCGATTCTCGCTCGATTTGACATCCTCGTCTGTTCCTCCTGTAGTTGAGACAATGCTCACTAGATAAGTGAATGAAGTAACCTCTTTCAAATCCCTCCAGTTGATGGTGATTGGCGTTGGATGTTGTTGTTGTTGTTGGTTGGTTATTTTCATCACCTCCGTCTTGTCTATGTTTACCTGGAGTCCTGTCTTTGCTGCTTCTTCGACCAGTTTGTCGGTTTTCGCTTGTAAGTCTTCGATTGTGTGTGACATCAAACATAAGTCATCCGCGAAATCCAGGTCTTCTAGGTTCTTCACGTCGGTCCAGGATATTCCTGTCTTCTCGTTTCCCACTCCTGTCTGACGCATAATCCAGTCCACCACTATTAGGAATATCATTGGTGATAGTAAGCACCCTTGTCTGACTCCTGTGTTTACTCCAAACGCCTCGCTGAGTCTTCCGTTGTGAATCACTTGGCAGGTGCCGTTGTAGTACAGCTGTTGAATAAGGTTGATGAATATTTGGGGTACGCCATAGTACTCGAGTAATTTCCAAATTACTTCGCGATCAACGCTGTTGAAGGCCTTCTCAAAGTCTATAAAGTTGAGGTAGAGGTTTGATTGCCATTCCATGCTTTGTTCTGTGATGATGATGCGTAGAGTTGCAATTTGGTCAGTACATGATTTGCCTTCCCTGAATCCAGCTTGTTCTGGTCGGAGTTCTGTCTCCAGTGCGTCCTTTAATCTCTCCAGGATGATGCGACTCAGGATTTTACTTGGCGTCGATAGGAGCATGATTCCTCGCCAGTTCTTGCAGAGTCCTAAGTCGCCCTTCTTTGGTAGTTTCACGAGGTAACCTTTCCTCCAGTCAGTAGGCACCTTTCCCTCCATCCAGACCTTTTGCAACAATGGAGTCAGCATGTCTGCTGTCGTCTCTGGGTCTGCTTTCAGTGCTTCAGGGGGTATTTCATCTGGTCCGGCTGTTTTCCCAGCTTTCAGAAGTTTGATTGCGTTCAAGACTTCAGCTTTCGTTGGAGGATTGGTGTCAACTTGCAGTTGTGTGTGCGTTGTTGTTGGTATTTCTGGACGGGTTGCAGGTGGTGGTCTGTTTAAGAGTCCTTTGAAGTGATCCGCCCATTGTTTAATCTGTTTTTCTTCCTTGGTAATGGGCTTCCCTTGGCTGTCTTTTATAGGTTTCGCTTGTGTTGGTCTCTTCCCGGATAGAGATTTGGTTATCTGATATAGTGTCCTCAGGTCCCTTTTGCCTGCTACCTTTTCAGCTTCAGTAACTAGATTGTCGTAGAATTACTGAGAATAACTAAGGGCAATACTGAGTTAAATTTCTCTTTGATTGTCAAACTAGAATTATTGAAAAACTGGATATTTGAGAATTACTTATATTTGGCTTTCATTCAAATTTTTGGTTAAATTCCTTTTGTCATAGTGGATACTCCACTTGGATTTGTAGGTTAATTTATCATGGTAAACATAAAATTAATATTAAAATAATTCAGTTAGCTTCATGTCGTCGCATTTAATACGCTTCACCTTTGCGGTTTGGCTTAAGTATATCTTAGTAATTTTCAAGTAATGCGTTACCCATAGTTATGCATTCGATTATTTGTTGGTCTAGGGTGGCAATAGCCCATAAACGTAAGCACTTTACTTTAAGCGAATGAGTCATGGGTTTCAGTCCGTCTCTGTTTACTTCGGACTCGGCAGGCGGGTAGAAACATCAGCCCTCAAAAAATAACTGGACCACAGCCTGGTACACAAAAAATTCTCTTCTGGATAATTAACTCCTAAATAGTTAGTCCCTTAACTCAACCTATCAGTTAAGATGAATCTCAAATCCAGTGTTGTGCGCTCATTCAGCATTCACACTGATTAGTAGTAGGTGTTATGCTCAACAAAACGTATGGCTGAGCCGAACTAATCGCTTGAAGTGTTCACAGCACACTAGCCAATGAATCTTAAGAGCAAATATTATCTTGATAGAGATTCGAAAAGAAGCACAATGATAATCTATTCAAAAATCTTCATATTTTTTAATCAATATCCCTCCTGAGTTATTCATGTTAGCAGCATTTCATTGGATTATACGCTCATATTTGAACCAATTTGTAGCCAGTTAGGAACCTTGTCATTTATGCTACAAACTAGATATACATGAATTCCTGCCCAGTAAACTTTGTACGTGGTATCTCATGCCAAACTACTATCTAGAGCTATCTCCCGTGGGAAGTGGTATAATAAGGTGAGCAATATTGAGGTTAGGCGTCGAGTGCTAGGTAAACAGGGGAAATCAATCGACGAGGCTATGAAATTACATCAACTGAGATGGTTAGGACATGTGTTACGTAGGCATACCTATCCTAGCCATCTCCTTCCTCGACGGGCGATGTTAGCTGACATAGGGTCAGGCTGGAAAAGAGCTAGCGGCGGTAAAACCAAAACATGGCACCAGTCAATGAAATCTACAACAGTTAGTTTAAGTCAGCCAGTCACGTAGGAAGGTGTAGACTTCCTGGTTGGTATCCTCGGGATGAAAAGACCAGTGAAGTATGGAGAAAGTTGGTGGTATGGCTCAGAATCGTTCTCCTTGTGACTCATGATTTCCAATGAAACAATATTGTTCGTCGTTATTACTTCCTTTTGTCTCATATCCCTGTTTACTGTCACTACTATGCATTTCTTCAACTTTCTCTTGTTTTGTGTGCTACAAGGAGGAAGTGTGGCGACTTGAACTGCCGCACATCAGTGCAAAGTTCTATGTCGAAAACAGACAGACAGACTATCCAGATTACTCATCGAGTCTTGAATGTCATTTAGCACAGTTTGTTGATGGGAACTCTTGTTTTCTTGTGGAATCACCATACTCGTGGAGATGATGATTGTTATTTGTTAGATGTTGTATAAAACCTGTTTTACAGCACCGAGGCATCTCTAATCCGGCGTTCTTCAACTTATTTTCTTCACACTAGAATCAAAATTACTTCATCATGTATTCCAATCTGAAGTTCCTTACTGCAAGGCCAATCATCGGGAATGTGGCAGCATCCCTCAGTACTGCAGTCAAGCCTATTTTAAAACCCGAAGCAAAGCGACAATCTGTATGTCCCCCTATAGTTTGATCTGAAGTACTTATTATTAGATTTTCATCAATAATGAGTGGCGTGATTCAGTCAGTGGAAAAACATTTGATACCGTAGATCCAACGACAGGGAGTGTAATTTGTAAAGTTGCAGCCGGGGATAAGGTAATTTGTTTTATTTTGGTATTCAGTGAAATTAACTGTTTTGATTACTGGTTTATTTTTTCAATACAAGTATTTAATGTCTCAATTAATATAAGTTACACTGTGACACAGCGGTTAGGACATTCGCCGACCATGCACATGGTCTGGGGTTCAATCGCCAGCTGACGCACTCCCTTATCTTGGTAAGCCAAAAATAAAGCTGGTAAAGAGGAAAGGTTGGGTATGGGGCTAGCAACCCCATTCTGTAAGAAATAAACACTGCTACTGAAACTTCGAGCCTTTAGTTTAAAGGCGCCCTATGTTCCACTGGGAACTTAAAGGAATAAAAAACACTTCAGGAAGGTGTGATATGATTATATGCTCAAAACGTTACCCACTTGATAATATACTGTCTCACTGTATTATTATTTCCTTTAATTCCTAGAGGAACATAGGGTTTCAGCTGCGCGTCTCCATTGCGTTCGGTTCTCTGCTAGAGTTTTCATCTGGCTCCAGGTCTGCCCACATGCTTTCATCTCCTCTTCACATGACCTCCTCCAAGTCACCTTAACACTGACGACCAATCGTCACTTCCCTTTTGGGTTCCACTCGAGCGATGGCTTGTCTAGTGATGTCACTTGATGGTTTCCTCAGCGTATGACCAATCCATCTCCATTTCTTCCTGCCTATTTGTTTCACAATCGGTTCCTGCTGTGTTGGCTCGCTCCCAGAGATCCCTGTTGCTGATTTTTTCTGGCCAACCATCTGATCTTGAGTTGTATTGAGCGAAGACAACTGTTAATGAAGGTCTGTAGTTTGTCTGAGATGCTCTTTATGACGCGCCAAGTCTCTTATCCATATAGTAGCATTAGAGTTGAAAATCCGGATCTTGTTTTTGATGCTGAGTGCTGCTGATCTCCACACAGTCTTGAGAGTGCTGAAAACTTACCTTGCTTTCACGATCCTTGCTTTGATATCCTCGTCAGTTCCGCCTGGAGTTGAAAAGATGCTTCCCAGTTAGGTAGGTGAAGGAGGTTGCTTCTTTCAGGTTCCTCCCATTTATGTTGACTGTTGTCTGTTGGTTTTTGCTGTTGCTGTTGGTGTTGGCCGGGAATCTTCATCACCTCTGTTTTCTCTATGTTCACCTGAAGGAAGGCCTATCTTCTCTGGATGCTTCTTCCATTGCCAACTTGTCGCTTTTCACTTGCATATCTTCCAATTTGTGGGAAATCAGACATACATCGTCGGCGAATTCCAGATCCTCCAAGTTTTTCGTTAGGGTCCATTTTATGCTTGTTTCCCCATTGCCCGCTGTTTGTCGCATTATCCAATCTACTGCAATCAGGAAAATCATTAGAGATAGTAGGCAGCTTTGCCTTACTCCCGTCTTCACTTCAATGGACTCCGTAAGTTTCCGGTTGTGGATTGCTTGGCATGCACCATTGTCGTACAACTGTTGGATGAGATGTATAATTGTCGGCGGCACCCCGTAGTACCTAATTAGTCTCCAAATCACCTCTCGATTGACGTTGTCGATGCATTTTCAAAGTCGATGAAGTTGAGTGAGGTAGAGAGGTTACTGTCATTCCAAGCTTTGTTCAATGATGATCCGTAGTGTGGCGATTTGATCAATACATGACTTGTTACTCCTGAATCCAGTCTGTTCCTGTCTCACTGTATGCGGTACCAAATAAACTTGTGTAATACGTTCAGAAAGAAGTTCATTTAAGTGATATTGCTATCCGGTAAATAGAGCACTTTGTATTTATGTGGAGTTCTGAGGTGTTATTTGTTATCGATCAGTAAGTAGAAAATGATCCATGTATGATTTGTGAATAATGGACCAACTGTTATCTCTTTTTGCTTGCATCGAAATTACTGTTACCTATAAATATTTTAACTAAAATCACAAGTAATTACCTGAATGAAATTGGCTTCAACCATACCTTAGTAGAAAGTCTTTGTAGTGGAAAGACAAGTTAGTCTGCCGAAAGACAACTTTAAAAGTGTTGATCGATGTCACCCTTTACGATTCTAACAGTCCTGTCACACTTTTTTTGTTTCTATGATAAGCTAGTTGACGAAACTTTGCATTGAAACGCCAGTAATTTCTAAAACAATTTTACACTGATTTAATCTTTGTATCGATCCACAAACCACCATAATGGTAGGCTGCCATACTCCTTACAGTTAACAGTGCATACGTTTACCAATAAATTATGCTACCAATAACCCACTTTTTGTTAGTCGTTTGTTTTCGGTAGTCACCAGTTCTAACCCCGCCGCAGTATTAATATTACTGGAAGCCATACATTATAATGTCAGCGAATGGCTAATTGACTGAATTACCAATGTTGAACTTTGCCCATGATTATTGTCGAGAGGCAATCCCTGCTATTCAGGGCTGATATTATTTCATATACCGAATTGTCGGATAGTACTCACTAAAGTTAGTAGTATTACCTCACTATATTCCATTTTGTTTTTACACTGTAGTGTTGAGTTAGCATAGTAGTGAATGTGTCGCAAAAATCCCCTCTTAATTAATTCATTCCTAATCGAGGATAAAATCGCAGCATAGATCACTGTCGGTCTGTAGAATAGCATCAATGATCTAGTGCTATGGGGGGGGGGCAGGATCGTTTACATTTGGGAGTCTTGTGAAGGCAGAATGTTATTCATAAGATTTTGTGATGATGACCTTTAGACAGTCGATTTCCCTGTGCAGAGAAAGTGTGTTGTTTGAGGAGAATGTCCTGCTGGGCGATGAAATGAATAATGTTTGGTAATTACATATACACTGGGCAACCAAAGTGATTACAAATCTGTGGACTTATTATTTTATAGTAATCTGGGAAATTCACTTAACTGACCATATGCGTCATATTTCTTAAGATATTCATAGTTAGGTGGATCAGATCTTTACTGGACACCAAAAGCTGTTAGTAGAGCGAGCGAATTGTCCTTAAAACAACTCGTTAATACTGTTGTGGACATATACTTGTGAACTCATTCAAGAAATTGGCGGCTATCATGTCGTTGGATCCTGAACATCGTCTCTTCTTGCATGTCATCAAGTAGGATTAAAATCAGTTCTAAAAAACTACGCATGGACGACTAAGTTAAAGAAATCTGCGACACTTTATTTTGCAAGCATTTTATGTGATGAGAAAAGTGTTAGTTGTGAAACTATTAACTTACCTCGAGACAGTAAAAAAACCAAATTAATGTGTGTTTAAAACTTGGTTACTGTGGTAGTATGTAATTCCACATTAATTTGTTTATTAGATTTATTATAACCACAACTTGGAAACTTTCGTCTTTATAGTTTTCTTTATTTTTCCCTATCCGTCGTCGTAAGGGTTGTAGAATTTTCCAGATGTCTGGGACAGGTGTTGAATCAGTCCTATTACATGCGTATGCAGTTTATTCGATAAATAAAACTTCCGTTATCAGTCTCTCCCTTTTTCATTTTATCGCATCCTACTGTGTATTATTATTATTGTTCCCTTGAGTTCCGAGTGAAACATAGGGCTTCAGCAACACATCTCCACTTTGTCCTGTCTTCCTCTGTCCTTTTTAGCTTGGACCATGAGTGCCCACAATCTCTCATCTCCTCTTCACAAAATATTCTCCATGTCACCCTCTCACCAACGATCCACTCGAGGGCCTGGCGTGTGATGTCATTTGGCTGCGTCCTCAATGTATGCCCAGTCCATCTCCACTTTTTCCTACATATTTGTTGAGCTATCGACTCTTGGTTGGTTTGTTCCCATAGTTTTGTTGCTTATTCTTTCTGACCTCCAAAGCCTCAGGATGGTCGGAGGTGGGTGTCTTGCGCTGCGGGTTGGCCACCCCTCCGTGCACCTCTTGAAATGCTCCCATACAACCGGGCGTCTTACATAGCCTCTCCTGAGGAAGTCCTACTCACCGCCTTCACGTGGCGGAGGTGTTTTTCACCAAAGTGAGAGGGCAAAAGCGGATGCCCGGCGCTCTTCACCGGGTTGACTGTCCATTGGATGACAGTCTAGGGGAGATGGCTAAACCCTGATTCCAAACCTCCAATGACTGTCGTATGAAGCTCACCGGAGCTCACTGGCAGATGTATGGACAAAGGGCTTATTGGATGCCGTGGATGACTGGCCCCATTCAAAAAGGCGAATGAACCGAACTCCGGTCACCGGCTGCCAATGGATAGTGGACTCCCTACTCCACTCCTACTGCCTTGTAGGTCACACTTGGTTGTGTAAAGGCTAGAGCTGCACTCTCAAACAAAAGGCCGAGCGATTCTTGGGACATCACTCGTACCCAATTCCCATGAAACTTCATGGTTCATGAAGCCGGCTCATCCTCCCGTAGGAGATAGCCGAAGTAAAGTAGTAAAGTAAGTAAGTACCATTTGATCTGCAGCATGGAGCGAAGGAGGTCACAGTTGATAAAAGTCTGCAACCTGTTGGAAATCCTTTACGTTACACGCCGTTTCTGTTCCGTATAGAAGGACCGACTTGACATTGGTGTTGAAAGCTCAAATCTTTTTCCTTATGTTGAATAAGTGTAGATTTCCAAACTTGTTTCAGGTTAATGAAGGCGTATCTTACCTTTCTGATTCTGACTGAATTTGACATCTTCATCCTTTCTGCCTGCAGTTGAAACGATGCTTCCCAGATAAGTGAAGGGGGTAACCTGTGTTAAATCTCTCCCGCTGATGGCGTTTGGCACTGGTTGTTGTTAATGCTGTTAGTTGGTTGGTCGGTTATCTTCATCACCTCCGTCGTCTCTATGTCCACTCGCACTCCTATCTTCACTGCTCCTTCTGCCAGTTTTTTTGGTTTTCGCCTGTAGGTCTTCGAGTTTATGTGACATTAGACATATATATCACCTGCGAAATCCAGATCTTTTAAAGTCTTCTCATCAGTGGTCTGGTGTATTCCTATCTCCTCGCTTCCCACAGCCTGATGCATAATCCAGTCCACTACAATTAAGAGTATTATCGATGAAAATAGACAGTCAGTCTTGTCTTACTCGTGTATTCACTTCGAACGCTTCGCTGAGTTTCCTGTTGTGGATCACCTGACACATGTCATTGTCATGTAGCCGTTGAATAAGACTGATAAACATTTCAGGTACGCCGTTGTGTTGAAGTAGTTTCCAAATTACTTCTCAGTTAACGCTGTCGAAGGCCTTTTCGAAGTCATCCTATTGTATGGTTGTGCGTAAATTTATGTAGTGCTATATAGCTGAGCTATTCTCTAGATTTCTTCAACTTATTTGAACCAGCTAATCTAGATTTTGCTTGGTTTTTATGCTCAACATGCTAAGAAAGTTCCACATTGAATCGAATGTACTGTTTTGAAACGAAGCCATTACTATTATTATTATTATTAAAAATCATTATCTTTGTTCATTTCATCTAGGAGGATATAGATATTGCAGTTAAAGCGGCTAGTAAAGCTTTTGAATTCGGTTCTGAATGGCGTCGTATGGATGCTGCAGCTCGTGGAGTTCTGCTTAACAAACTGGCTGATCTTATAGAACGCGACAGAGTGTATCTTGCTGTAAGCTTTACTATTTTTGGTTTGATAATAAATGTTTAAAATGTTTGTATACATTCTTGGTATTCTGGGGTGATTTTTACAAATTTAATGTGATTGTTGCTAAAGCTGTGTAGGTGGTTAGTAGTTCACTACTGTCCGTGCTTTGCAGGTTTCATTCACCTTGGATTTCCTGAAATGGAAGCTGAATAAGTGTTGACAGTTTCGCCCGATTTCCGTGCACAATAATGAAATCTATCAGATATCTTGAAGTTGTCTGCATACAATAGTTTACTGAGTGTTTGGTTCCAATCACTTAGCGTTAAAACCTCAATTTTTTAGAGATCCATCATTTGAACTAATTTTTTTTTAGAGCTTGATGGTGGCCACTATTCAGATACTAAGCATTTCCAGGTATTGGTTTTGTAAGGATTTTGTTTGATTGTTTGGAGGATTTCATCATGAGCTGACATCCGTTTTCCAATGGTTCTCTAACTGACGTATCAGCTCATGATGAAATCCTCCAACCGATCATACTAAGTATTCTTGAGTAACGTTATACTGCTCATTTTAATTCAGGTTTTCATGTATTTCCCAATGTCTGTCTGTCTATCTGTCTGTTTTCGACATAGAACTTTCGACATATGTGCAGCAGTTTAAGTCACCACACTCCATCCAAGTAGCACACAAAGCTAGAGAAGAAAGTAGAAGAAATGCATAATAGAGACAGTAAACAGAGGTGTGAGACAAAGGAATAGTATTAACGAAGAACAATATTGTTTCATTGAAAATCACAAGTCAGAAGGAGTGGATGCATCTGCGCCATTACTGAAAACGATCACTTTGAGCCATATCACCAATTGTTTCCAACGATTGATGTTTACCGTACCAAGGACCCCAACCAGCCAGCCACACAGTCTACAACTTCCTACGTGGCTGGCTGGCTTTAACTAACTGTTGTGGACTTCATTGACTGATGCCTCCATGTTTTGTTTTGAACACCCCGTGGCTCTTTTCCAACCTTATCGTATGCCGGTCAGCTAACAGTGCCCGTCGAGGAAGGCGATGGCTAGACATGCATGCGTGACACATGTCCTAACCATCTCTCAATCGGTATAACTTCACAACCTCATCTACTGATTTCCCCTCCTTGTGTAGTACTTATTTATTTATTATTTTTTTTTTATCCTTCGGTCGATAGCCGGATATCACGCATACTAAGCCAAGGATGGCGTAGACTAGCATATGCGAAACGAGCCCTCTATATCCGTGCTGAAATTTCTTCAGCGATCAATCCATCGAGCTGGTTGATACAACTTCCCAAATAAGTGAGATGGTCAATACGCTCTATCACTTCACTCCTGCCTATCTTTAAGCTAGGAGTCAATGTAGTTCAGTCCTGTACCCTCATCATCTTACATCTGACGGAAACGAATCGCATGCCAAATATTCTCAGCGTTTACCTTAAAAAGTTCAGAAGACTCTGCATTTTGTCAGCATCTTCACTTAAAGGGACTTTATCATTTGCATATATTCTAAGTCAGCGAGATTATTTCCTGGTGGTAACGAGTCCACCCCTAAGTCTCTGAAGTCAGCAGTTAGGGTTAACTCTATTAGTACATGCATGATGAAATTAAACAGAAATGAGAATAGTGAACATCCCTCGCTGTCGGACACCACTGGTTGTCATCAGTTCAGATGACAACTCGCCGTAAGCTCTCACCTGGCTGAATGCATGAGTTCGAATGGAGTGCCTTGATCAGTGCAATGTATTTTCTCAGCATTTCCTTTACACCCAAGCATCACCATAGTGCCTTTCGGTCGACAGAACCGAATGCCGCCTTTAGGTCAAGAAATATAACGATTGTTGGACGCCGACGGTAAGTATGCCTATGTTCCGTTCCGGAATCTGCCGAAGGGTGAAGATATGATATATACACCCTCTTTCTGGTCTAAAGTCTGACATGCAGCTGTAATAAGATCTTAGTCACGGTTGATGGTTTTCTGTCGAATGTCTCAATACTATTCACCTTTTGCATATTTATTTCGATTCAATGTGTTCACTTTTATTTCCAGTCTTTAGAAACTTTGGACAATGGAAAACCATTCAGTGATTCATACAACATTGATTTAGAGTTGGTGATCAAATGTTACAGGTTTGTAAATTACCATATTTATTCTTTTTTTATTTATTTTTATTATAGCTTGATTCTACACAGTATTTTTGGTACAAGTATGGAATATCCAGCATGTGATATTGGTAGCCCAAATTTTGCAGGCCGACCATAAATATCAGGTGTGCATCGGCGTGCGCTCGAAACCCGGCGTGATCGGCGAGAGTCCTAACCTCTGTGCCACCGACACATGCAGCGTTACACCACCTATGCCAGCATGTGCTTCACACCAAAATACCGTTTCGTTCCCGTTCCACTGAATATAAGTAAAGAAACAATGGCAGCAGTGGTATTTCACTGACGCCAGGCACCAAAGCACCTAGCTTCCACCTATTCTACATCCATCATGTTTCCTCACAAAGTCGGACTACAGTTAAGCTTAACAGGGTCTTATTTCCCCGCTAATTCTGCCAAGCCTTTTCCCTTGGCTGTGGTTTCACTAGATTAGTAGATAGGGACAGTAGGAATCTCGTTAATCCATTCATGCGCGTCACTAATTAGATGACGAGGCATTTGGCTACCTTAAGAGAGAGTCATATTACCATCAGAGAGATGATTTTTGTGTATAATTGATTTCATTCAGTTAAGTAGATTGTTGTTGCAATACTTTTATTTATATGAAGGTCCTTTATTCAGTCCATGTTGTATCAGCTATTATTCACACACAAGTAATGATCTATTCAATCCGAAATAAAGGTGTCTAATTTTATAAAATGTTGTGTAGTGATGAATGGAGTCCATCGCCAACGACGTTGGCTAGCGGTGGCGCTAAAAATAGCGGACTGACTGAAGTAAGGATTCATAATCCACTGGATTCCGTCTCAGTGGCTGAATGACCGACTAACCGTTCTCGTGACTTGAAGGATTTTGGGTCGACCTATGGTGGGGTCATCCATGCGTACTGACGAAGAGTCATGAACAAGGACGAGACCATTGTCTAGTACTCCCTGGTTTTCAATAGTTCTCTAACTTTTATCAACTCGTGATCAAATATGAAACCAATCTCTAAACCGCTTTACGTTATAAGAAATCGGATTGCAACCAAAGGGGTAATCGAGTATTTGCTTCTCGTAATATTCCACGTGGGATATGTTAAGCATACAGTTTGTTTGTTGACGTATTAGCTTGTTAAAGTCGCCGTTCAAAGGACGAGATAGCCATAAGTAGCTAAGTAGATGTTAATTTAATAGTCAGTTTAGCGAGACAAATGGAAGCGTTGTCAAATGTAGAGGATTTACAGTATCTTCATCAATATTACCCTATATCATAACTGTTTTGTGGGGTTTGTATTTAGCACACTTATACAACTCATATTTGTATAGGAAACCCTTCGTTAAAAGGATTCAAGCAGCCGTCCTTTTGAATCTATAGTTGTGCTCCTTCGCTGATAAAACCGTTTCTGTTAAGTTTAAATTTTCTTCATGTATCTCATAAAGAAGTAGCCTCCACCAGTGTACTCGAATAAAAAGTCTGTTGTCTAGATACTTCCTTCGATATACCTTTGGATTAAATGGTTATATAGAATTATATTTCCAACACTACATCATAGATGGGATTCTCAGATTTCTCTAAAGTTTGTTTAGATTGATTACTCATATATGCCGATGTGAAAACAGTGTCCACCTGGAAGTTATTATTTCCATTGTCATTATTAAAACACAAAGTTACTGCATAATGGGCACCGAGAGATGTGCTACACAAAACCACATGATTTGTGCGAGGGCTGGAGTACTGTCTTGACTCCCAGACTAGACCAGGTGGTTATCCTAAGGGGCCACCCTTGGGAATTTAACTTGAAATCTGATCTGCAAGGCAGTGAAGCAGTCCTCCCATGGTTCTCGGTGACCGAAACTTCCCCATCTGACATTCGATACGTTCGGATTCTGGAGCTCATAAACACCACAGGTTTGTATTAAGGGTTTTCAAGCCTCGTTGAGTAAACCAGCATGTCCACCAGTCTGGTCGTAAGCGCTAGACTTTCAAATTGTCTCTTTCACCTTTTGTGAGGAACATCATTGACTTGTGAAGGCGGTGAATAGAATTAAACTTCAAGCCACTGGGGAATGTAAAGGGAAAAAAACATGAGAGCATTTCGACAAAAAGACTGAAGTCTAACCAGCTCTGGCTGTACCTGTTCGTTTATGAAGGCTCCAACTGGAAGCGTTGTAAATAACTCTTGAGTGAATTTCAACAGTATATTCACTAAGTAGATGAGAGTTTGAGCTCTTTTGGTTCACAAATTTGAATTCTAATCCACTTAGATGTTTGACGAATATGAAAACAAAACACGTAGATCAGCGAAGAGTCTCTTTTCGCCGGCTAATTCATTTTCTTAGCTGTACAATCGCAAATATATACATATGAGTTATTTTGTATGTATGCGTACGTTAAGTTTGTCAAACAAAAGTACAATTGGTTAAGGTTACTTTTAACTAAACAGGTGAAGATTGGTAATACAAGTCAAGAAAATTAGGTGTTAGTGAAATTAGGGTAGTAACAAAGGTGATGAGTTGTCACAAACAGTTGTTAAAAGAAGTTATGTAATAATAGTATGGATAGTTTGATGAGTGAGTTTTACTCAGGTTGCACATAGGAACAAAGTAGATAATACGAGATTACGTAAGAGTTCTAAATGGATACAAGAATTATAAGCAATTAAAGAACAGGCATAGAAACAAACGAAATTATGTCATCACAAATCAAAGTATTGTTACCATGAGAGTAGAAGTGGTTGAGTAATTCTCTTTTGTATGCACAGCTCCCGTTTTTCTATGTGAATGGCCAGAGCTTCAGCGATACAAAGAAGACGAAACTGTGTTGCCTTTGGTAGGTTATTCTTGACTCTGTAGATTACTTTGAAGGGGCAGGTGTTCAATTATTGCACCACTATTGCCTTTTCGCAACCATGCTGGCTGGATAGTGTTCTTGAATCCTCTTGGATAGGGTGCGCGTCGAACGACTGATGTACCTGGCTGGCTCCACAGCAGCAGGTGAACTGATATATGCACGCAGAAGTGGTCAGATGCGGGATCTTGTCCTTTAGGCTTCTGCAGATCAGTGGGCGACTGGAGAACACCATTCTTAGCGTTGCTGCAAAGAATGTTCTCAGAGATAACGACCCCAATCTACTGCTGAAGACATTTAACAGTTGCCATCCAGCAATTTTGTTTCTTTGCCTGTTCTTTAATTGCTTATAATTCTTGTATCCATTTAGAACTCTTACGTAATCTCGTATTATCTACTTTGTTCCTATGTGCAACCTGAGTAAAACTCACTCATCAAACTATCCATACTATTATTACATAACTTCTTTTAACAACTGTTTGTGACAACTCATCACCTTTGTTACTACCCTAATTTCACTAACACCTAATTTTCTTGACTTGTATTACCAATCTTCACCTGTTTAGTTAAAAGTAACCTTAACCAATTGTACTTTTGTTTGACAAACTTAACGTACGCATACATACAAAATAACTCATATGTATATATTTGCGATTGTACAGCTAAGAAAATGAATTAGCCGGCGAAAAGAGACTCTTCGCTGATCTACGTGTTTTGTTTTCATTAATGCCTGGATAGGGATTATCCATGAGTTTGACAAATAGTCAAGTTTTCTGTAACCATGTGAAAAAGATGTCTATACAGTTGCTAATTTATTCCACTTTTCTCTAGTTTTAATGTGAATTGAACACTTTTGATCTAACCTGCTTTTCTTTTATTTCAAGGTATTATGCTGGTTGGGCAGATAAATATCATGGAAAGACAATACCTATTGGCGGTAACTATATGTCATTTACACGTCATGAACCTGTTGGTGTTTGTGGACAAATTATCCCATGGAATTTCCCTTTACTGATGCAAGCATGGAAACTTGGTCCTGCATTAGCAATGGGGAATACAGTTGTCATGAAAACAGCTGAACAAACTCCATTGTCGGCTAATTGGGTTGCTGAACTGATTAAAGAGGCTGGATTCCCTCCTGGTGTAGTAAATATTGTTCCAGGGTAAGCAGTTTAATCGGTTAGAGAGAATATTATTCATATTTGATTATTATTTCTTTTAATTCCTAGAGGAACATAGGGCTTCAGTTGCGCCTCTCCATTGCCTTCGGTTTTCTGCCAACGTTTTCACCTGGCCCCAGGTCTACCCACACGCTTCATCTCCTGTTCACACGACTTCCTCCAAGTCACCCTGGCACTGACGACCAACTCGTCGCTTCCCTTTCGGGTTCCACTCGAGCGATAGCTTGTCTAGTGATGTCACTCACTTGATTGTTTCCTCAGAGTATGACCAATCCATCTCCATTTCTTCCTGCCTATTTGTTTCACAATCGGTTCCCTCTTGGTTGGTTTGCTCATCGCCAGAGATCCCTGTTGCTGATCTTTTCTGGTCGGCCATTTGATCTTGAGCGGAGTATTGAGCGAAGACAACTGTTAATGAAGGTCTGTAGTTTGTTTGAGATGCTCTTTATGACGCTCTGGTCATGTCTGTGATCCGTACAGTGAGTAGCACTGACTTCACATTGGAGTTGAAAATCCGGATGTTATTTTTGATGCTGAGTAGTGCTGTTGACTTCCACACAGACTTGAGAGTAATGAAAGCTTGTCTTGCTTTTCTGATTCTTGTTTTGATGTCCTCGTCAGTTCCGTCTGCCTGTAGTTGAAACGATGCTTCCCAGGTGGGTAGGTAGGTAAAGGAGGTTGTTTCTTCCAGGTTCCTCCCATTTATGCTGGTTGTTGTCTGTTATTGTTGTTGGCCAGGAAGCTTCATCACCTCTGTTTTCTCTATGTTCACCTGAAGGAAGTCCTATCTTCTCTGGATGCTTCTTCTATCGCCAACTTGTCACAATTTCACTTGCATATCTTCCAGTTTGTGGGAAATCAGACATATATCATATTTGATTGCTCATTTATTATTTGTGTACTTATGTTTAATAAACAATTCATAAAATCAATCAGAGACTGGTAACTGTGTTCTCAAAAGTGTATTGTGTAATGTGAGGTGTAATTTAGGAGGAGATGACTAATTGGAGATTAGAGAATGGGGACATCAGGTACCTCCGCATGATTGGTTCACAGTGCTACTCTACTCAAAATTCCTCAGTATCTCACGAAATGACTTCGGACAAATTTACCAAATCACTGGGTATCCGGGACTTGAAACCGGATGTCTGCGTTTATCAGAACTACATACGGCTATTCGTCTTACCATGGCTAGAGTAACGTTTGCACCATAATTTTGTTTCATTTTATGCTTTTAGCTCATTATTATTACTTTTATCAGGAAGTAGTGGAAAGCTGTATCATCCTAGTTTGGGATTCTCGAGATGCACGCTACCACCGAAGATCGAACTCGGAACACTCCAGTTACAAGGCGAGCTCGTAGACCATTAAGCCGCTGGGACCCACGAATCCAGTGGCCAGTCCATGAATTCCAACTTCTGCCAATTCACGATATAGCTCGACTGGCGATAGCTAATGTCATCGGCCACGAGTTTATATCCTCATACTTGACCTGTTGTACCCTACTGGTCACGAATTCGCCCTAGTGTAACGAAAGAAGACAAGGGCCAGGCAACACATCCTGTATTAAGGAAATCAACAGATGTTTATAGATTTTATGTACATTATTATTCGTTATTATTAGCAGGAAAACAGTGTCTCCTGACTGGTTGTTTCCCTGCTAAAGGTTATTCTGTCATCTCTTTGTTGCCGTTTCTCAGACAGTCCATTGATATATCTGCTAATCATATCCGCCGACGCTAAGTATGTTGTGATTAGTTCTTGATTTCCTCAAGGTTGTGCTCTGTTTTTGTTTTTTCCCATGACCCCGATTTGGGACGTAAACATTGACGTAAATCGCTATCTACCAATTTTGGCAAGCTGACAGCTCTCACCACAGTAAAACCCAGGTACCTACCTACCTGAATAGGCTCCCAAACTAGGTCAAAGCAACTAGCTGTCCAGTACTCCTTAGGTGGTTTTCCAGTGGTTCTCTAACTGATACCAGCTTATAATGAAATTTTCTAACCAATCAAATTCCTGCAAACCAATACTTAAATACTATTACTTTTATAGTTTATTCATAACATTATTTAAACAGTTAAATGTCTTTCCATTAGTTTTTACCTACTTTGTTACATTTAGATTGATTAGTTAATTTTCGCAACTGTTACATAATTCTACTTTTCGTCCTTGTTTTCTATTATTGTGTACATTCATAGACCAAATATTATAAAATGTACAAAGTAGAACTTAGACCTTGGCTACTATTACATGTCAGGATTGTATGGTGGTGCTGTTGTATTTAGCAGTAATCCCTTGTGTTTATGTATTATTGTTGACCGAATGATGTAAGACTCTGAATCACTTTTATGTATGGTCGTTTAAGGTATACACAGTTTGGTTTATTGACGCTCCCAAATCATCACCCACATGATATTGTTGTCAGAGCATTGAGTCTATGTGACTTTGGCAATGAAACCTATGCGTTTTGCGTAAATGACATTAATCAACAGAGGAATTTGTAGAGCTGTATTTAATATGATCATAGCGGTATATTATACATAGAAAATCTCTGAAGTCTGATGTTTGTCTTGATGTAACTGAGATAATTACGACTGGGGACTTCAATAATTGATGCCTTCAGGTCGACGTATAGTTATTATTCACATAGTTTCTGTCTGTCTGTTTTCGACATAGAACTTTGCACATATGTGCGGCAGTTCAAGTCGCCACACTCCATGTAGCACACAAAGCGTAGTTTCTGACTGGAGCATAAGGCTTCGACACTAAATACCCTCATTTCATGTTGTTTTCTGCAGTTGTCTTTAACTAGCTCCACAGTTGTTTATTAGCTCTCATCCTCCTCCTTTAAAGGCGGCATTCGATTCTGTCGACCAAGAGGTGCTCTGGCGATGCTTGGCTGTAAAGGGAATACCGAGAAAATACATTGCACTGATCAAGGCAATCTACTCAAACTCATGCATCCAGCCAAGTGAGAGCCCACTGACAGATATCATCTTCAGATGTTAACTTCTACGGTGTGGGCAGCCGGGAAGTAACAATCGCCCTCACAATCCGGAACGCACGCGAAACCTCTCTATTACTCACTCATCTCTGTTTTCACCTTCATCTCTATCATCCTGCCTTCCTTCCACTGATGCAACTCCTCGGCTTGATAGCTCTCCACTTCCCCTCCACTCTGCATCCACTAAATGGCTGGAGACAATAGGTGACATGGCTCAAAATCGTTGTCAATGGCGCAGATGTATTCAGTCTCTGTAATCTTTCGTATTCCTTTCTACCATTACCCATTCTGTTTCACTCTTATACTTGTCAGACTGTATTGATTCTCTTCACTCATCTTCTTGTCTACCTCTGTGTGCTATTTGGAAGGTGGCAACTCGAACTGCTGCACTTCGGTGCCAAGTTCTATGTTGAATCCAGACAGACAGACAGCATCCACTAAAAACGATGGAAGCCAAAAAACCACCACCGACAGCCTCCTAAAGCCACACCACCAATTTCATATAGGAGCTTTTAATGTTAGGACACTTTGCCAAATAGGACAACAAGCATCACTAACCAAGACCCTGGCATCCCGAACCATTGATGTATGCGTCGGTGGCACAGTGGTTAGGACTCTCGCCGACCATGCACATGGTTCGGGGTTCGAGCCCGCACCGACGCACACCTGATATCTATGGTCGGTCTGCAAAATTTGGGCTACCGATATCACATGGTGAAAATTCCATACTTGTACCAAAAATACAGTGTGGAATCAAGCTGTAAATAAAAAAAATAAATAAGATAAAAGTGCTGTGTTTCAGAAACACACATACAAGACTCAAGTGTGGTTATTCACCTAACCCCACCTGGCCAACAGGTTGAATCTGCAAAATTCACCTTGAGGGTGTCAGGAGATGCCACAGCTAGTTCACGAGGATTAGCTGGCGTAGGGATAGCTTTGAGTACTAGGGCAGAAAAGACATTGCTTGACTGGATCCCGGTAGATAGCCGAATGTGTGCTGTCCGCCTGAACGGATCAGTAAGAAGGAGAAAGGACTGCACTACTCGCCGATGCCTTTTCGTAATCTCCGCCTACGCCCCCACTGACTGCAGTTCAGATGAAACGAAGGATGAGTTCTACCAAAAGCTGTCTAGTTTGGTGCGAAAGGCTAAACGCTCAGACATAGTCGTTCTAGCTGGTGACTTTAACGCTCAAGTAGGGAAATTGTGTCAATCTGAGAAGGATGTCGGTGGCACCTATGGAGTTCCGTGCCAGCGAACCGACAACGGTGACCGTCTCCTACAGTTCTGCTCTGATAATCATTTGTTTCTTGTAAGCACTAACTTTAAACACAAGGAGAGACACTGTTTGACTTGGAGACCCCCTTCATCAAACCAACGCTGGACACAAATAGACCACATAGCAATAAGCTATCGTTGGCGTGGGTCGGTAGGAGATTGTCGCTCCTTCTGGAACACGTGCGTAGATACCGACCATGCACTGGTCCGCGCTCGGGTGTGCTTACGACTGAACGGACGTAGGAAACAGCTGGCGGTAAAACCATCACGTCCCCAGCTCGATCAGGAAACTAAATCCGTATTTGAGGAAGAACTAGCTAAACACATATCTGTGTTCGACAGCTGTGCTCACCCTGAAGAAGCTTGGAAAAATATCCAGGCAGCCATAGATACAGCTGTAAAAGCTGTGAATAAGGTAAACCCAAAGGTGAGTAAAAACCACTGGATCTCCACCGCCTCATCCGAACTGATAGATGCTAGAAGACTTATTCCGGCGAGCTCCGAATTCAATGAGGAGCGAAAGCTGCACAAGAGGAAACTTACGAAAAGTCTCCGCAAGGACCGTGAACAGTGGTGGGCGACAAAAGCCAAAGAGATGGAGAAAGCTTCGAGGATAGGCAACACCAGGCAACTCTTTGGACTCATCAGGGAAACGGGTGGGAGAAGACAAATCATTAGTGAGACAATCTCGGAAA